TGAAATGAGCGTGAGATCAAGCCTGGGGTAACCACCCTGAGAATGAGAGATTACATGGAGAAGGGTCTCAGGCACCCTGTCTATTCACCAGGTGATTACAGATGTGTAAGTGAGTCCACCTGAGAATAGCTGCCCTGTAGAACCAAAGGGTCTCAGGCACCCTGTCTACTCACTAGGTGGTTGCAAATGTGTGAGTGAGTCCACCTGAGAATAGCTGCCCTGTAGAACCCAGCCCAAATTGCTGACCTTCAGAATTTTGAGCTAAATAAATGATTGTTTAAACAACTAAGTTTTGGAGTGATTTGTTATGAGCAGAAGCTACCTGATACTTGTCTTACACGGTGGCAGGCAAGAGACAATGACATGAAATTTTGTAACATTTATTCTTTACTCATGTTATAAAGAATTTTCCCTGTGAATGAATACATGTAGGCCTATCTTATTCTTCTAAATAGTTACATAGGCTGGGCATGGTGGCTCACGCCTGTAATCCCAGCACTTTGGGAGGCTGAGTCGGGCAGATCCCAAGGTCAGGAGTTCAGACCAGCCTGGCCAACATGGTAAAACACCGTCTCTACTAAAAATAAAAAAATTAGCTGGGCGTGGTGGCATGTGCCTGTAATCCCAGCTACTTGGGAGGCTGAAACAGGAGCATTGCTTGAACCCAGGAGGCAGAGGTTGCAGTGAGCTGAGATCACACCACTGCCCTCCAGCCTGGGCAACAGAGCGACTCCATCTCAAGAAAAACAAAAAAAGCCACAGTTACATAAATTTCCATATTATGGATCCCTTAGTTTATTTAATAATCTATTCCATTGTACGTATGTATCAGCTTTTCTTCCCAATCACCTCTTGATGGACAGTTAGGTTTTTTCTTCCTTTTTTCCTTTCCTTGTTCCTTTTTGCCTTCCCTCCTTTCTTTCCGTCTCTTTTTATATTATCAGTAATTACCCCTATAGCTTTTGGAAACACTTATCCTATGGTGTTTTTTTCTTGCTAATATTGATTACGGCATCTTTTTATACAGAATTATTTAAAATACTTTAAAATGTATCAATCCTTTCCTTATTGTCATCCCTATTTTAAGTTTTGCTCTACAGCAATTTTCCTATAAAAATTTTTGCTCAATTTTTTTCTAATACAGGATTTTATATAAGTGTCTGTGTGTCTGTATATGTGTACTTTGTCTTCTTTTATGTGATGATCAGCCAGGTGTGACCTCAAGAGGAGACACAGTAGTGGCACAGGGAAAAACAAAGTGTACTACACTCACAGGTCCTGGAGACAGGAGGACCATGTGGGAAAGGCACCAGGGTGGTCAGGAGGTGGAAGACAGGAGCAAACAGAAGATCTAGTCCACTCCCTTTAGGGGGTTTTATGGGGAAGGGCAAGGCAGGGCAGGGTGAACAGTTTAGGAGTGGCTAATGTGAATACTTGTGGAAGGTTTGGGGCTGTGGAGGTGGTTCCTAGTTGCCTGGCAGCTGGTCCTGGGATGTTTCAGGCAGAGGGATTTTGCCTCCTGGGGCTTAGGGACCAGATAGAGGAATTATGACCCTGCCCTACTTAGTTTATCACCGCAGGCGTGCTCCAGGCTGAGACCTTGCTATCTCTAAGCATGACTAGCCCTGGGAGGAACCGTCTTTCTCCAGCCACAAAGATTTTTTTTTAAGATCTCAAAACAGCATAATGTACACAGAATTTTAAAATATTTATAATTGTGTGTGTGTGTGTGTGTGAGAGAGAGAGAGAATCAGGGTTAGTTTATTGATCTTCTGGAATTTATTTTAATTTACAGTAGTCCCCTGGTTTTTTTGTTTGTTTGTTTGTTTGTTTTGGAGACAAAGTCTCACTACTCCATTGCCCAGGCTGGAGTGCAGTGGTGCCATCCCGGCTCACTTCAACCTCCACACCTCCGCCTCCCGGGTTCAAGCGATTCTCCTGCATCAGCCTCCCGAGTAGCTGGGACTACAGGCATGCGCCACCACGCCCAGCTAATTTTGTCTATTTAGTAGAGATGGGGTTTCACCATGTTAGCCAGGCTGATCTGCAACTCCCGACTTCAGGTGATCCACCTGCCTCGGTCTCCCAAAGTGCTGGGATTCCAGGCGTGAGCCACCGCACCCAGCCTGCAGTAGTCCCCTCTTGTCTGCGTTTTCACTTTCCACAGTTTCCGTTCCACTAGTCAACTGTGGTCTGAACATAGGACATACGGAAAATTCCAGAAATAAGCAATTAGGTTTTTCAATTGCGTGCCCGGGTGAGTAGCATGATGAAGTCTCTGGGTCCTGCCTCTCTCTCCTTGAATCCTCCCTCTGTCCAGCACCTCCGTGCTGTCTACGTGCTCATTAGTCACTCTGCAGCAGCCTTGGTTAACAGATTGATGGTTGCGGCATCACAGTGCTTGTATTCAAGTCACCCTTAGCTGACTTCATTATGGCTCCAAAGCCACAAGAGTAATGACGCTGACCATTGAAATATCCCAAAGAGAAGCCATAAAGTGCTTCCTTTAGGTGAAAAGGTGAAAGTTATTGGCATAATAAGGAAAGAAAAAAAAATCGTATGCAGAGGTGGCTAAGATCTACAGTAAGAACGATTTTCTAGCTGTGAAACTGTGAAGAAGGAACGAGAAATTCGTGCATACTGTCTATAGGGTTTGCTACTATCTTCAGCTTCAGGCATCCACTTGGGTTCTTGGAGTATATCCCATTAGGATAAGGGGAAACTACTGTATAGTGTGGAATAGGGTATTTAATTTTCACCAGATAAATAGCCAATGATCCTGAACACCTTTCAATGAGTAATTCACCTTTTTTCACTGATTTGAAATGTGCCTTTATTCTATATTAATCTAATCTGCTTCAACTCTCTCTATCCCATTCTATGGATTGGTTTGCCTGTTACTAGATCAGTAACAAAATGTCGACCACAATACCACAATTGCTACAGCTTCATGGTACATTTTGGCATTGGTAAAGTGTCAAGTTTTTTCCTCAAAATTTGTCAAATGTTCTTGAATATTTTCTCTCCCAAACTACTTTCAGAATAAGTCTTAACATTTCATGAAGGGTCATTTTGAATTTAATTAGGATTACACTGATTTTACACATGAATTTTGCCATCAATTGAATGTTTAACAACATTGAATCTTGCTGGTGAGGATAATGATATGCCTTTTCATTTATTCACACTTCTTCAGTACAGTTTTGTAGTTTTCTTTTTAAATGTGTTGCACATTTATTCTCCAGTTTTGCCCTCAGTATTTCATAGTTTTTTAAGCTATTTACATTTTGACACATTTCAAAATTTATTTTTGCTCTTGTCCTAAGAAAATTAGTACTGAAAAGAGTTTCCCTGAAATTTGGTCAGTTTGGTAAACTTTTGTTAATTCTAATCATCCACCACTTGATTTCACTGAATTTTTAGTAGATAATCTGGGTAGATAATCGTATAATTTGAAATCAAGGAGAGTTTCCAATTTTTGCTTTTCATTATTTCATTTTATTTTTGTATTGAATTGGCTAAAAATGCTTACATGTTTGTATTGGTCTTCTTGGACTACCATAGCAAAACCCACAGACTGGGTAGTTTAAACAACAGAAATGTATTTTCTCACAGCTCTGGAGGATGCAAGTCCAAAATCGAGGTGCCAGCAAGGTGGTTCCTGGTAAGGCTCTCTACTTCACTTGCAACCTCACACCACCTTTTTTCTGTGCATGCATGCAGAGAGAAAAAGATTTCTAGCATCTCTTCCTCTTCTCATAAAGACACCAGTCCTGTTGGATTAGGGCCCCATCCTAATGTCCTCATTTATCCTTAATTACCTCCTTAAAATCCCTGTTTCCAAATACAGTCACATTGGGGTCTAGGGCCTTAACATATGAATTATGCAGAAAATACAAATTAGTTTACAACAATGTTGTTGAATAGTAACAGCACGGGCTTTTAAAATCTTTTTCAATTTCTAAGTTAGTATTGAAAATAATATTTTTATGTTTTTCTCCTGAATATCTGAAAAATAGTGTAGGCAGAATACCCAGAAGAAACATAGAGTTGACATAGATCAGAGCTATCACAGAGGTTTCCTTGATGCTTCTGCATCAACACCAGTTCACTGGTAGAGCAGATGTTGAAAAAGTACTTGCTGATTGACACTTATTAAAAATACCACAACCGTTTGCTATTATGTGTGTCATGTATCTAAAATGACCATAAGTGACCATGTTTAATATCATGTAGATAAGTGGTTTATGTTGAAAAAGCATTTATTCATGTTTTCCCTTTCATTCAGTAAAGATTTGCTGTTAGGAAGTGGGTGGATTTTAATGTAAATGGCATAATCTCTGACTGGTATTTAAAGATCTTGGGTTAGTCTCCTAGAACCAAAGTGGTAAATACTGTAATAAATAGAAATCTCTATTTCTTACTGGCTCAAAGGCAAAATATTATGGCTATAAGGTAGTTTATAATTATCAGCCTGTTATGAATTGAAAATTTTTTGACAAAATGCCACATTTTAAGTCAAAACTAAACAGCTCCTTCTGAGCAATTCCCACTCAAAATTATTCTTTAAAAGCTCATTCATTAAAACAAGTATATATTATGACTTAGGTAAAGTATTAACATGTTTGAGCCATGTGTAAACATCCAGCAGTTATTAGTAACCACCTAATCTCTAAAAGAGCAAAAATTAAAGATATGCAGCCAGGTGCAGTGGCTCACGCCTGTAATCCCAACACTTTGGGAGGCTGAGGTGGGCAGATCACGAGATCAGGAGTTTGAGACCAGCCTGACCAGCATGGTGAAACCTGGTCTCTACTAAAAATACCAAAATAGCTGGACTAACTAGCTGGTGGCGGGTGCCTGTAATCCCTGCTACTCAGGAGGCTGAGGCAGGAGAATTGCTTGAACTCAGGAGGCAGAGGTTGCAGTGAGCCAAGATCGCACCACTGCACACTAGCCTGAGCGACAGAGTGAGACTCCATCTCAGAAAAAAAAAAGAAAGAAAATTAAAGATATGCATAATGAAAAAACAAGATATTTATTTCATGTATGCTATATATGTTGCCCTTTTTGCAAGAAATAGAAGACTTCAGTCTTTCTCCTACTTCTTTCTATCACATATCTAATCCCAAGGAAGCATGTTTAAAAAATTACTTATCAATTAAAATTCCATATTCTTACAGAAATGACTGGGCTCAGGTACCTTTGAGTCCAAATTTCTTCTGTCATCCTTGATAGCTGGATGATCTTGGACAAGTGTCTTAATCTTTCCTAGCATTCATTTCCTCATTCACAAAATTAGAGTAATAAGACATTCCTAATAGATTTTCTGTGAGAATTACATGAAATAACCTATGTGAAATGCCTAAAACAGATCCCAACATGTAGAAGCTCAGTAGATGAAGTTATTTATTATTATTAAACATTGTCATGTTTTCCTGAATGCTGACAATTTGAAATCCTTAACTTGTTCCTTAAAATGAATCTGGAAAGACCTTAAAGAGGCTAATTTTCAGCCATGATCTAAAAAACAAACAAACAGAGCCCCAATTGAACTTTAGATTTTTTAAAATATTATACCCAAGGCTCCAAATTTTGTCCTTCTTAGGTGCACCAAGATGACACAACATCCTTTGTTAGTAGTGGAAAATAAACAGCTTCATAGGAAACAAGACTTTATCACGCAATAATTTATAGATTTGTGTCCAATTTTTTATTAAAAAGAGAAAAAGCCCTTCTTGAGTCAGAAATATTTCTCAGATCGTTATAGAATAACAATCAGGACTCTCCACCTTTTATTTTCACTGCTGGGTTGTAAAAGAGGACTCTCTACAATGCCTACTCCAGAAGGATATTATTCTACAAATAAGGGCCCAGCGTGACATTTATGAGAAAGCCGGGGTCCTCCTGTGCAAAGCTGATTGGTGATCAGCAAATGGGCTCCCGGGCGCTGCAAATAAAGGCACTTTCTTCGCTGGGCTGATCAGACGCAGGACAGAGGGTTGCCTCTGCCTGTGGACCTTGGGGAAATGCGCAGCTCTTGTCCTGGCAGCATCCGTCTGTGGCCAGCAAGGAGAAACCAGACTCTAACAATGAAACCTCTTCGTCCCCAGTTCCCTGTCATCTTGGTCATCTACTGCTTCTGTATGCTACAGATTCCCTCCTCAGGTAAGGGGAGTTTCATCAGACTCCATCTGGCCTGAATTCTGAGGATGACTGAGGCAGACCTTGATCCCCCAGGGCAGTTCTGGAAGGAGTCAAGCTTTATTCTCCCCCGCCAGCCCTCATTACTACCTTCTTGATTTCTGGCTGCAATTTGTTTCGAACCTTTAGGAGAGGATGGACAGAGCGAGATGCCGCAGCCTTTTACCAAAGGAGACTTTTCCCTGTGGGACTGTCTTTAAGCTGCTCCTGCCCCAGGGATGTCCTGAGCATGTGCCGCTAAAACTGAAGGGTGAGGCACGTCCTGGTAGGAGTTAGGGGAAGACACCTCTTGTAGCCATTTCTGCTCCCTGGATTCTGAAGAGACGAGGACAGAGTTGGTAAAACTGAGCTTACAGCCCCAAAGAATGGGAATTGATGGGCAGTTCGAGACGGGCGCGGGAGGAGCGCACAGTGGAAAAAGGAGTCTTTTCCAAGCCTTTCCCCTGGGTTTTAGAAAGGCAGGGTTCCAGTGTGTGGTGGAAGCCGCTACCTCCCGGGGCCGGTGAGCTGTCCGCGGTGCTGACCGGGCGCGGGCATCGCCTCACCAACTCTTGAGAACCAGCTTCTAGGGAACAGGGATGGAGTGAGGGTCTGTGGTTGGAATCTTACCACCATCTTCATAGGATGCAGGGAAGTGGGCGGTGGCGGAACAACTAAGGTTGGAAATATATACCATTTTAGATTTTTCCATTAGAATTTTGACTTAGGGGAGGAGAACATCTTTGGAAATATATTAACAGAGAAAATATATTTCAAACAGTTTGTTCGCTTTGTCACGTCCTACAATGTAATCACAAAACTGGGCCTTGCAAAGGACCATGAAGGTCATCTGGTTTAACCTCTGACAGGGTGCAGGGATCCCTTCTGTAACTTCCCAATTCTATTTAAGTACTTTCAATGACCTCAACTCACTGCCAGCTAAGACAGCCAGGTGCTGCCTCTTTGCTCCAGTAGAGTCCTGTTTATAGTATACTTTTGTAAATCTGTTATTACCTTTTATTTATCTTTCTCTATGTTTATACTCACCTCCCTATTTTTTCCTATTTGACTTTATGTTTCCTGAGGGCAGGTCTTTACGTTTTATTAACAAAGAACCTCTCCATAAATCCTTTTAGGATTCGTTTGCATTACTTTGCATTGTTGAATGATTCCAATTGTCAAAAACTTCTTTACGCTAAGCTTAAGTGTGATCACATGTAACTTTCTAACCATCAGCCTTTATTCTGTTATTTGGGGGAAACATAGAATAAGACTAATATCTCTTACTTACTGCAGTTCTCAAAATAGTTGAAAGCAGTTAACATATACTTCCTAATATTCCTGTTTCCAGAGAAAACGATGCTCAGTGACTTTACCTTGTATCTTACCATTTCAAGTCAGACTATTACCTTTAAAGGTTTAGGCCCTGTTATTTGAATATAACATAACCTTGCCTTAGCTTTATCTTGCCTCAGAGGGAATGCAGGGGACAAAATACCAGTCAGTTTTCTTTTGTCTTGTTTTTACACATAAACTGCTCTTGAGTCATGCATTCCCTGTTCCACACGTTAAAAATCTAAGTGCCAGGTTTTATATTTATCCGTCTAATTTCATCTTGTTAGTTTTGACCTATCCAATTGATTCTTTCAACTGCACTATAGTTATCCCACCAAGTGTTGTATCACAAGCAAATAAGAAGAGGAGTTCATTGAAGTTAGACAAAAGGTTGACAGGGTCCAGCTGCGTGCCAGCAGCCTTCCCCAGAGCCCATCCCTAGAGAGTCTGTAGCAGCAGAGGGATGGGCATCTATGTGTCTTCAAAGTTCAAGGGTGATTCTGATGTCCATCCTTTGTTGGCACCATTTTCTAATATGCCATCCTTATGAATTCTATCAAAATACAAACTAAGTTGTTACCTTGGGATTTTTTTCCTCCTCTTTGCCGAGTTGCTAACAGTCATACTGAACACTCATGGTAAATTAACAACCATGCTATTTTAATCTTTGTATATTCTAGTGGCAAGTAGAAGTGTATTTTCTTTGTAAATCCTTTTAACAACATCAGATCAAATCTTACTTTTCCACTGACCTCTTTTGTATGGTTCTTTGGTGGTTTATTACTTTAATAGAGACTGTCTGTTTCTCACGGTAAAGACTTTGAAGTAAATGCTAAGACCTCTTTTCTCTAATTAATAATTTTATGATTTCTCACAATAGGATTTCCCCAACCTTCAGCTGATCCTCCAGATGGCTTGGATATTGTGCAGCTTGAGGTACTCAATTATTCAGTAATGTGAGATTTTTATTTAGTCTGGACCTTGAATACATCATGTGTATAATGTTCACTTAAAACTATTTTGAGATCAGATTTTTGGCTGCAGCAGAAACTCACTGTTGCCATTTTTCATGGCCTCATTTAGGGCATCCTGAGGGTTGTGTTGAAATTCACTGCCACTGTGTGAGAAGATAATGTGAGGTTCAGAGATAGGACAATTTTAGTATTTTAAATCTGTTGTAATAAAATTCTGCTGACTGAAGAATTTATAATTATCTTTGATTCATTGTTTAAATTTTAAATGCGTAATCAATGTACACATTTTCAAGGTACATGTGATATTCTGATACTTTCATATAGTATGTTATAACCAAGTTGGGGGAATTGGAGTATCGATGGATATTAAACATTTACATTTTCTTTATGCTGGGAGCATTCGAATTATTCTCTATTAGCTATTTTGAGATATCAAATAGATTATGGTTTACTATAGTTACTCTACTGAATTATCAAACACCAGGCCTTGTTTCTTCTATCTAATTGTATTTGATTACCCATTAATCAATCTGTCTTCATCCCCCTCATCCCTTTGATTTGTTTTCTTCATTTTATTTTTTAGCAACTGGCATATTGTCTGAGTCAGTGGGCATCTATTTCTCGCCAACCTAAGGAAAAAAAACTGTGTGTGTGTGTGTGTGTATATATACACATATATATAAAAAATAAATATATAATATATATCTGCAACAAACACACTCTTTTGCTACCTACTGGAGAATGCTGTATGTATCTGTAACTGTGCATTTGTATGTGTGTTCAAGAATATAATTTTATACAAAATCAAGCAAATATCTTATATATAAATTACTATAAAATATGGGTAGTTCATTTATATTCTTACAATTATTATAATCATATATAGTTAAGCTAATTATATATGTTATGATATATTGCATATTATAAATTGATATACCATGATATAGTAGTTCTCCAAAACAATAGTTATCATGTAAAAGACTTTACAGTAACTAGCCGGGCGTGGTGGCTCACACCTGTAATCCCAGCACTTTGAGAGGCCAAATTGGACCAATCACTTGGGGCCAGGAGTTTGAGTCCAGCCGGGCCAACAAGGTGAAACTCCATCTCTACTAAAAATACAAAAATTAGCCAGGCATGGTGGCGCACCTGTAATCCCAGCTACTCAGGAGGCTGAGGCAGAAGAATAGCTTGAACCCAGGAGGCAGAGGTTGCAGTGAGCCAAGATTGGGCCACTACACTCTGGCCTGGGTGACAGAGCAAGACTCTGCTTCAATTAAAAAAAAAAAAAAAAAAGTTTCATTTAAAAGACTCTACAGTAACTGGCCAGGCGTGGTGGCTCACACCTGTAATCCCAGCACTATGGGAGGCTGAGGTGGGCGGATCATGAGCTCAGGAGTTCACGACCAGCCTGGCCAACATGGTGAATCCTGTCTCTACTAAAAATACAAAAAGTAGCTGGGCATGGTGGTGCACGCCTGCAATCCCAGCTACTCAGGAGAATCGCTTGAACCTGGGAGGCGGAGGTTGCAGTGAGCCGAGATCGTGCCACCGCACTCCAGCCTGGGTGACAGAGCAAGACTCTGTCTCACCAAAAAAAACAAAAATAAAAACTTTACAGTAACTATAGTAACCACACAGATATAAAGTAAGTTGATTTACTTGAAAGAACAAAAGGGTGGTAGGATAGTCCATGATGCCTAGGATAGCCTCTGCATTTTCACCTTGAGCCACATCTCTTTATCCCTCACCTCCCCTAACCCACAGCACACTGTGCTCCAGCCACAGTGAACCTCTCAGTGTTCCCCAAATGCACCAGGCCCTTGATGTCCTTGCACAGTCTTTTCCTCAATCAGAAATGGCTTTGCCTCCTTCACAGGCTGCAGTTAACAGTCCAGACTCTAAAACAAAAATACCTGGTTGCAAAGTCCAGCTCTGTTTAAACTTGGTAGTTTCTCAGTTGCTCTGTGCCTCAGTTTTGTCATCTGTAGCATACGGGTAATTGTCACAGTACCCTAGAATGCTGTTGTAAGGATTAAATGCTTCATATTTGTGAAGCGCTTTCAACAGCATCCAGAACGTGGCAAACGACAGCCCTTAAGTGCTACTTGTTGCCATTGCCTGTTGATGCAACCAATTCTCATTCTTCAAGACGCAAACATCACTTTCTCAAATTTCATGAATATATCATTCCCATTTCTTCTTATTTTCAGTTTACTATGCATATGTTTGAAGGCAATCGTTAGCGCTCATTTTCAGGAATAATCTTTACAGCCTTGGTCTTGGAGCAAAACTTCAGGCTGGAAACTCAGAGTTCTTCAACCCTTTGTTACTTCCTCCACATGCTGCACAGAAGGGACTTCCCTGTCCCTCAGGTGAAGACTGTGGGGGTGTCCTCTGCATCCGCAGAGGCAGTGAAAGTGTGGCTGTCCCAAGGGCAACCTGCAGTATTAAATTGGGTTAAGGATCCTCAAGAGCAAGGGCCCACTAAGAATGAATTTCCTTCCGCCTTCTCCATTTTTCCAAGCCTCTCCCATTCACTGTTTCCAACTGCAGAAGAGCAAGGGGTTGCACAGTGAACAAAACTGCCAGTATTTTAAAGGTATTAATAGAGAAACTGGCTCTTCCTGGCTTGCTGCTTCCCTGAAATGTGACTGTTGGCATGTCACTTTGTCTCTTGGAGCTTTTGTCTCCTCAACTGCCCAAAGTCTGGATGTGTCACCAGAGCTCTAAGTTCACTCCTGTTCTGGTTTCCAGAATAGGCCAAGTCTGTGACTCTAGGGGACCTTTACCTCAAGGCAATTCAGAAAGCAGTCACATTCTGCAAATAATGACAGCCACAAAACTCTTCACGTTTCGTGTTTCTGGTCACCACATGGGATTAGAAGACGTTTCAGTTGGGAAAATTGCAATAAGTTCTTGTGAAGCTCTTATTGCTCTACTATTCATTCACTCAAAAGATATATTTATTGAGAGCATGCCACGAGCCGGGTGCTAGGGATGCCGTAGTAAAACAAACTGAACACCTGCTCTCATGGCATTTGTATTCTAGTTGGGGAAATGAATCATAAACAACATTGATCAGTACAATTAGAAAACATTTCTTCTCTAAAAAGAAAAAAGTAGGCCGGGCATGGTGGCTCCTGCCTGTTATCCCAGAATTTTGGGAGGCTGAGGCCAGCAGATCACTTGAGGTCAGGAGTTTGAGACCAGCCTGGGCAACATGGTAAAACCCTATCTCTACTAAAAATACAAAAGTTAGACAGGTGTGGTGCCTGTAATCCCAGCTACTCAGGAGGCTGAGGTAGGAGAATCGCTTGAACCTGGGAGGTAGAGGCTGCACTGAGCCAAGATGGCACCACTGTACTCCAGGCTGGGTGATGGAGTGAGACCATGTCTCAAAAAAAAAAAAGAAAAGACAAAAGAAAAAAGTAAAGTAAGGAAGGGGCATATGAAACGTTGAGCAGGGTAATTCCCACCAGGAAAAGCATCATCACATTCCTCATCAATTTTTGCCCTGAAAAGTAAACATAATAGTATACAGCCGATGAATGTGGTACAAAAAACAATTGTTTGTCCAATAAGTGTCCATACACACACACACACACATACACACACACACACACACATACACTGTCGTGAACAGATGCTGACAACAAGACCAGGAGCTGTAAAAATAGCAAGTACTTTCTGCCAGCTAAAAATGGTGATCATAAGGAAATAGAGTTAAGTTCCACAGAGCCTCCACTATTGGTAAAGTTGGTGGATTACAGTGTGTGTCTGTGCGTGTGTGCCCATGTTTGTGCATCCACACATATGTACATGGTAGAGAGAGAGAGAGAGAGGATGCATCGGTATTGCTCTCTTCCACTGAAGAATTTCTGCACAAAGTCTGCAGGAAGATGTAACTGTATTCACAGCAATACAATTAGAAGTAGTATTCACAGCTTTAATTTTTGTCTTGAGTGAGGTTTCAGCTGATTCAAAAATCATTAAGCATGGGTGAGATGTGAATGATCAGTACTAGCCAGATCAGAAGATTTAAATGATTGTTCACAGTAATCATCTCTAGTGACTTTACAAAACACGGACATGAACATTCACTCTATAGTTTTGTAAGAAGCCTTCTTCCCGGCATCTCCTTGAGTCAGATAAGCCCACATGCAACCATCATCTACGCAAGCCAGGGCTGAGGCGTGTGCACGGGCAAGGATTTAGAAACGGAAAGCTGGACTTTCTGCAAGGTGAGCAAAAATTCATGTAGAAAGCTTTTGGAGAAAAAGCAGCTCGGTCAATAAGAACTATAAAAACTGAATACCAGGATACACTCTGCAGCAAATCAAAAATTGTAATAGTTAGTTTATTCCACCCAGTCAGATTGTTATTTTCTTCTATGCATCAGAGAGTAGGTCTCTCCTCCCCACTCCCTGCAAACTGAAAAGATGAAATGAGATATTTTCACATGATGATGTATTGCTGGCAATTTTCTTTATTGTAAGATCCTGCATCAACTATAGTCTCATTAAATTTGCGTAATAGAGGAATTTCTTTTTAGATTGCCAATGTATCATAATATTCAGGTAAATCCAGTAAGGTTCATGGTGTACCTGACACAGAAAACGTTATCAGTTGCCTGCCCCTGTAAAATTTCACCTCACTTACCCTCACAATTCTCTTTCCAGGATAATCAAGACATATACAAAAGGGTGAGTACCGCCCAGCCCAGTACAAGGGCATGCAGCTTCCATGTTTAGAGCAAGTGACACTCAATACTAATATCACTTTCTTTTCTTATTTAGTTTTTGTTTCACTACTCCAGAACTCAGGAGGCAACACATCCAGTTAAAAGTGAGGTCAGTATTTTATCATAATCCTCTGTCTGTAAAAGTGGCTCTCCCCTGCATGTCATCCGTCCCTTCTTAATATGTGCAGGCAAGTAGAAAAGCTGGGGCCTCTGGACATCCTCTGCGTAGTAGCTTCCCAGGAGCTTTTCCCTGGGACTGCAGGGATTCCCTTTCTCCCTCTGGGGTGGGGGGTGGTAAGTGGCCAACTTATCTGAGAAGGTAGAGAATAAATTATAGAAAAGGAAAAATAAGTAGGAAATAACTTTTTAGTATACACTTAAACAGAGTTACAAGAAGAGCCTGGTAAACACTGTGTTCTGTTTACATTGTTTGTTCTTACCATCTGTTTTTAAATTTGTGCTTTGTGATGTGTGTGGTACCATCCCCCAGTAGTGATACATGGATGAACATCTTCCGTGGCTGTCGTGATGTGTATGTGCAATGGGAATAGTAACCATCACCTCTAACTTTCTTCCTACAGATTTGAGTTACCCTCGGGAGCAGCTTATGTAGGTGAATTTCTATGGGGTATGATTTGAGGAATACTGGAGAGGCCATAGAATATATATGTATGTGTGTGTGTATGAGTGTGTGTGTGTGTGTGTATATATATATATTTGAGACAGAGTCTTGCTCTGTCACCCAGGCTGGAGTGCAGTGGTGCAATCTCAGGTTACTGTAACCTCCACCTCTGGGGTTCAAGCGATTCTCCTGTCTCAGCCTCCCAAGTAGCTGGGATTACAGGCATGCACCACCATGCCTGGCTAATGTTTGTATTTTTAGTAGAGACGGGGTTTCACCATGTTGGCCAGGCTGGTCTCAAACTCCTGACCTCAGGTGATTCGCCCGCCTCAGCCTCCCAAAGTGCTGGGATTACAGGGGTGAGCCACCATGCTCAGCCAGAATATAACTTTTAAACCCAGTCACAGCAAGTAAAACTCTACCACTAGAAAGTCTCTTACTTATATATTCAAGGCTCTCCACGTCTTAAGAGGATCCTTAAAAAAGCAAATAACCAGGAAAAAAAATGTTTCGCCTAAGAATCAATCAGTATTACAGATGTAGGAATAGGGCTCAGGTAAGGAGGGGGATTTTCTTTAGACGGAGTTTCGCTCCTGTTGCCCAGGCTGCAGTGCAGTGACATGATCTCGGCTCACTGCAACCTCCACCTCCCGGCTTCAAGCCATGATCTCTTGCCTTAGCATCCCAAGTAGCTGGGACTACAAGCACGCGCCACCACGTCTGGCTAATTTTGTATTTTTAGTAAAGATGGGGTTTCACCATGTTGGCCAGGTTGGTCTCGAACTCCTGACCTCAGGTGATCCACCCACCTTGGCCTCCCAAAGTGCTTGGCCTCCCACTGCACCCGGCCAAGGAGGTGGATATTATCAAAACCAACAAGGGCACCACGAAAGGAGGAAGAATAATGGAAAGGAAAAAAAAAAACCTGGAACACGAATCAAGTTTTACTCTAAACCAAAGCACACAGGGAGGATTCATGAGAACTAGATGAGGACAGGTGTGTGCCCCTGGGTGTGCACGGCAGTCACAGACAAGATCAGGAAACCAGAAGTACCTGGGGAGGGTTACAGGGGCTGCCCTCCACCTTTTCCCTTGGATGAGGAGGGCACCCCTGGGGAGGGAGTAAGAATACAAGTGGAGTTGCTTCTAGGACAAGGCGCTCCGCTCCAGGAGCACAGAGTGCTAAGGGTTAATGCAGAGAAAAGTCCGATTTACCTTAAGGGAATATTTTTAAGGGTTGTGTTGGAATTGAAACCTGTTCTCAAGGCAAGCGGCTCTTTATTGAAACCATAAAATTCCAGGCTTCCGCTCGAAAATGGATTTTACTCTGAAAATTAAACCCATTTGTAAGGGAAGTGAGTAGAAAGGAATGCGCATCGCCCTAGGCTCTCAAAATACCCCTCTGTGGATGTCCCCCTGTCTGACCCTCTCCGCGTCTCTCTGTTGCAGTTCCCTCCAGTGCATCCTCTTATGCATCTGGTTGCCAAGCTCGCCAACAGACGGATGAAGAGATTTCTGCAGCGAGTATGTGCTTCTATTTTTCCACCATGGTTTTATGCCACTCACAGTTCCCTGAATCGTGGTGAAAGCGTGCTGTCACCTTGGGGCTCGCTGTCATTCTCTCCTCAAATTTCAATCTCCACCTTGGCAGGGAGTGCTGAGCAGAACTGCTGATCCTTTGACCTCCCTGGGCCTCAGTTTCCTCCACTGAAACCCCATGAGGTGGCTTGAAGGGCCCGGGGAGAGACCCCATGGCCCAGCCTGCTTCCATCCCTCTCCTCTTCGGCTCCTTTCATCCCGAAGTTGTGTCTCGGTTTTGTACTTTTTTCAGTTCCCCTGTCTCTTTCCCCTGACACGAAACTTGCCCTGGAGATATCTTCTGCTTCCCATGGCCCTACCTGCCTGTTGTCCATTTCTCAGAGCTTTCTTCTTTAGTTTTTATTTTTTAATTTAGAAATTAAATTTCTAAATTAATTTCTGAACCTGTTCAATGGTAATCAAAGTTTTGTTTCATGGTAGCAAAAATAAATAAACAAATAGCAAGAGAGAAAATTTATGTTGAACACCCTGCCCAGATAGGGTGATCGGCTCATCCCAGTTTGTCCAGGACTTTCCTAGTTTTAGCTCTGAAAATCCCAGGGCCCCGAGTGCCTGGAAAACTGGTTGGCCATCCTGGGCACCAGCAGCAGTTTGTCTGACCCCCTGCTAACCGCAAGCCTCCAGGTCCAGTCTGATTCCATTCTTACACCAGGTTCACAGGCAATGAACAAGCTCAAGAAGCCAAAATGGCTAATCCTTTAAAAGTGTGCTAAGCTTTGCAATGTGCCCGTTTCAAAGTTGGCACTGTTAGGAAGAGCAAGCAAACTTAACGTACCTGGATACAGATGGTAACTCAGCCCAGCCAAGACGACAAGCTTGCCTTCCTGAGCAGGAGCTTGCTAGAGAAGATCACAGCAGTGATCCCACCATTTGCCACGCTCTCCACCTCCTCTTTTGCGCCAGACTTCTGACTACCTTAGAAGGAAGCCAGGGACGCCAGGATCACTGCAAGACCACTGCAAGGTCATGATGTGGTTCCTGTTGAATTTACCCGTGCCTCATTTCCTTGCAGGGTTCGGGGACTGCTGCAGTGGACTTCACCAAGAAGGTTGGAGAGCCTTGGAGACTGTAACCCCCAAAGAAAGCCCTACCTGAGAAGGGTGGGGAAGTCCTTGGAGCCAGTCACCCTGCAGCCCCTCCAGACCACTTCTGGGCAGAGCTAGTCTCAAAAGGACCCTGAGAATCTTTTGTGGCTGAGCAATTAAGTTCAGGTCTCCCTGGGGGCAGACAGGAACCATGGGGCAATGCCTCTGGCTGTTCAGATTTCACTTCCAGCCCCACAGATGAGTCTCCTGGAGCCAGCTGCTCCTGAGGTCTTGCTTTCTCTCGCTCAGGAGCCCACATGCCATTGTACAGACTCCAACAGAGGCACTGCCAAAGTACAAACCCCAAACACTGGGGGTTCTCAAACGTGGCCATGCATCAGAGTCAGCTGGCTAAAATTCAGATTGCCCCCAAAGATTCAGTGGGTCTGGATTGGGGCAAAGAGTTTGTGTTTCTTACAAGTTCCCAGAGGTTGCTGGTGCCACTGGTCTGGGACCACCCTTTTTTGAAAATTGTCCCTATAGACATTTTTGAAGAACTTTTAATGCAACATGGTTGCATAATGGCTTATGTTTTTATGTTGCAGGATCACGCTGCCAGCTGGGGACGACCCTTTTTCCTTTTCAGGGTATAGCATGTTTTCTCACCTTTGCTTTCTAACCTCGATTCACTGCAGCCATCCCAATCACGGAGTGACTGCAAACAGCTGAGCCAGGACCCCTTGGTGAACTGGTGGATAATTATGGGGACTCTCTCACCCTTCACTGGGTATCACTCCAATCAAAATCTCCTCCTACAAGCTTGTAAAGGCAAGGGTCCAACAGGAGAGAGGCTGAGAGCACCAGAGTAGGCGTAAGGGAGTTCTGCTGACAGACAGACACAGGCTGGACCAGAATCTGAGCCCATGTTTTAGACCATTAGGGTCCAGCATTCATGGCCCCAAAAACACATGGCAGGAGGAGCTTAGGCACCATCCTCTCCTCCTTCCTGGGTAACAGAAATTCTTGCAAGAGTCACAGGGTCGAAGAGTTATCTTTTAGATTTTAATCGGCCATTCACTAGCTGTGCTCCACCCTTGAGATTCTTAGTATCTGCAAAGAAAAATGAGCAAATCAGACTAGATCCATGCCCCCAGCAACTGCATTCTGTGAATCACTGGCACCAAAAGGTACTCTGCAAAAGTCAGAAAAGATTGGAAAACACTGCACCCGACATTCACAAAGACTCACAATACACACTGGCCCATGGCAGGCTGTAGGAAGTCCTGCAGAACACAACCTGTGTCTCTTGGCTTAAGCATTTGTTTCCCGAACATAGGGACTGTGGCACTGTTTCCCACCCCTGTCTCACTCCCATGGGTCTGTAGGACCTACTCGTTTCCTGGAAAGTGCTTTGAGAACAGTCCATCTCCATGACGTCTCCAGACTGGGCAGTCCTGTGCTGGATGGTTTGTGGAACCTCCCACCACAGAAGCAAAGGCTAAAGGGTGGGATGATGGGTAAGTGACAGTGTTGGGATCCTAGGAGCAGCGAGGTTCCTGGAGCACTGTCCCAGAGGACCTCCAGACTGGTGCTAGCCCAGGGCGAGAGCTTCCCAGGTGAGTCCCCATGGAAGGCAGTGAAATCCCTGTTAGAAGAATGAGGCCTTAGGGTTCAATAGAGAGAAGAGCCAAATCAAGATAAGGCTGCAGAAAGTTGTGTCTCAGTATCCATAAGTTGCTCCTTTTTTTCCAGCCCAGGAATGGAAGAAACACTGAAGATGAGGCTCAGTAGGTAGTCCAAGGTCAGCTTCATCACAGTTTTTCTCTTTCAAGCAAATTTTATGTGTCTGACTGGAGAGAGTGAGAGGCAGCCATGGGGGGACCATCGTTTAAGAAAGGAGGACCCTGCATAACCCCCAAGGACTCTGCCCCTTCCCTTTTCCTGCACACAGGACCACAGAGATCCCCACCCCAGCCTAGCAGATGCAGGCTGTCTGGCCAATATTGCAGCCTTCACTTCCATGCCCAGCTCTTCAGAGGCATGTGGTCTCCAGTTGTCACTGTGATGGGGATGTAGGCTCATGTAGCCCAGCTGGGCCCTCCGTGACTCCTCACCTGGCCCCCTTGATAAGGAAACACCACCCTGTCATGCTTGGGTGGTGCACCAAGGAGTTCTGGAAGCTACCAAGCTCCCTACACTGAGAGCATTTCTAAGTACGGCCAGGCAAGGCTGTTTCCCCCTTCCAATGGTGCTCTGAGATCCAGAGTTTTAATCTGGAGTGATTCCTTGACCTTCAGCCCTGTGGAAGAGGAAGCGAATGCTCAAGGGCAGCTCTGGCCCTCCTCTGTCTCTCATGAGGATGTGGTCCCAAGGATATGAGGCCGCTGTCCTATGGATGCTGCCAGCAGGGGTCAGCAGTCCAAGGTATCTGAGAAAGCTGTCGCACTGCTGGGAAATGGCACTACCCAGCAAACACAAGGCGAAGATATTCCCTGAGGCCATAGTGCTTACACCAACCTAATGGCCTGATGAGATACAGCAAAAACAAATCTTATAAGTACTGATTGTGGGAAAAGCAACCTGGGCCTTTATGACATGTCAAACTGAGGTCTAATTGTGAAATATGTTACATCATAACCTGCCCCATGGGCTTTGTCTTGATTCTGAGAATGATTTCACCTGAGCGGTACATTTTTCTTTTCTTTTTTAGGATTCAATGGTGAAAGAAAGCTGGATCTGATGAGGCCATCCAGGGATTATGTTGAACAAACATCAAATTTCTTTCCACGAACAGTATTTAAAGATATTTCTCTTGCTCTATATTCACTAGATATTCAGCTTCATAAAAGTAAAGTAGCATTGTGTGATATTGTGAAATATATGTTTGGTCTTTGTCCATATTTCTTGACATACAAGTTCTAAAATTCTTGAAAATTTCAAAACGTTCAGTGTCTCTTTGTGTACTGATGTTGGCAGTGGCTGGCAGCCTCTAGGTAGCTTTGGGGTGGGGCTGGTCACCAGGAAGACCAAGGCAGGATTAGAGGATTGGGACTTTCAGCCCAACCCCAGTCTCCAGGGAGAAGAGGCACTGAAAGTTGAGTTGGTCACCAGTGGCCAATGTTTTAATCAGTCATGCCTATTGTGAAATTAAACAATTCAGACTTAAGGCTACTGGAACGTTAACTGATTTGAGCCTTGAGAGAGATGTGACTGTGTGGCCTCAGTTGTGTAACATGCAGCTGCCACTACAGCTTCTCCAACTACAGATGAACTCTCTTCCTTATTTTTTGTTCTGTAATCTGTAAAATGACTAGGAAAGACTGAATGGCACCAGAGATAAGAGCCCTCCGCTCTTAATTACTGACCTTTGTTAGAAATTAACTTCTTCCTTTATTGTCTTGCACTCAACTCAGACCAGATGACACAGAAGACCCCATGACTATTACACCCACAATGTGGAATGTTAAATACCCACCCCGAAAAAGAACACAGCCTATAACCCGTCCAGTTGCCTTAACTATGCACTAACCTCTCACGGACAGTGTTAAAATCCTACTGAACTTCCTGAAACCTTGCCGATATCAACAACCCTCAAACCTCTCCACTTCAGAATGCTGATTCTGTTAGCTTGGTGTTGGCATTTCCAGGTGGCTATTCTCAAGCTTTGAGCTCAAACAGATTAAACTCTGTATTTAATCATATTTTTCTGAATCTCATTTTTTAAGGAGGACACTATGTAACCCTAACCTTCCATAAAAACCCAAAAGGACAGGGTTTTAGATGGCTTTTAGATGGCTGGACACATGGAGGTTGCTGGAGGGTGGTATTTCTTCATCTGTATCCTTAGTAATATCTTTTATAATAAACTAGAAAATGTGTTTCCCTGAGTTCTATGAGCCACTCTAGCAAATTAGTCGAACTTAAGGAGGTGGTCATGGGAGCCCCAGTTCATAGCCTGTTGGCCAGAAGCACAGGTAAAATAACCTGGGGCTTGTGACTGACGTTGGAAGTGGGGCACGGTCTTGGGGACTGAGCCCTGAACCTGTGGGATCTGATGCCATCTCCAGGTAGATGGTGTTGGAATTGAATTGGAGGGCACCAACTGGTATCTGCTGCAGAACTGATTGCTTGCTTGGGGGAAAACCCCACAGGCATTGGGTATGAGGGCAGAGGAAACACTGTGTTTTCCACTTATACTGACACGTTATTTTCCTTTCCTATTGGAAAGTCTTGGGGGATGGGAGGACTGGGTATATGTGTTTTTAATAATAGGACTTATTTTTAAAATTCACCATCTTTGGCATTGGTTTAGCATAGCTTAGCTATCTTGTTATTATTGAATATTGAGGGATGGGATTGGGATAGGTGGGATGGCTTCAGATACTGACTCCTCTACTTTTAGCTGGGTGACCTTGGACAGGTCACTTCCCATTCCTGTGCCTCAGTTTCCTCCATGGTAAAATGGTGTTGGTATGGTAATCATAGTAACTTCTTGGCCGGGCGCGGTGGCTCAAGCCTGTAATCCCAGCACTTTGGGAGGCCGAGACGGGCGGATTACGAGGTCAGGAGATCGAGACCATCCTGGCTAACCCAGTGAAACCTCGTCTCTACTAAAAAATACAAAAAAACTAGCCGGGCGAGGTGGCGGGCGCCTGTAGTCCCAGCTACTCAGGAGGCTGAGGCAGGAGAATGGAGTAAACCCAGGAGGCGGAGCTTGCAGTGAGCTGAGATCCGGCCACTGCACTCCAGCCTGGGCGACAGAGCGAGACTCCGTCTCAAAAATAAATAAATAAATAAATAAATAAATAAATAAATAATCATAGTAACTTCTTCACATAGACTTTGTGAGGACTACTTTGTTTAAAAGCCTAGTTGCTTTTTCCACTATAATATTACTATCCTGTATTATTTAATAGTTTTATAATACTGTCATAACAAATAAACAAGACTTGGTAGCCTAAAACAAAAGCGATTTATTCTCTTACAGTTCTGGAGCCCAGAAGTCCAAAATCAAGGTGTTGGCAGGGCCACACTTCCTCAAAAACATCGAGGGAAAGTCTGTCCTTGCCTCATCTACCTCTGGTGGTTCCAGGTGCTCCTCTTGACCCGTGGCAGCATCACTCCAGTCTCTGCCTTGCCCTCCCGTGGCCTTCCCTCTGTGTCTGTTGTCTGTGTCTTCTCCCTTTCACATCTCTTATAAAGACCCTCGTCATTATAAAGACACTCATCATTGGATTTAGGCTCTGGCCTGATCTAGGATGTCATCATCTTCAGGTCTCTTACTTAATTACCTTTGTAAAGATGTTTTTCTCACATAAGGTCCATTCACAGGTTCCATGGATTAGGTTTTGGACCATCTTTTGGGGGCCACAGCTGAAGCTGCATCCTTAGGATTACTCTTTGTTGTTCCTCTCTGGAGCTCAGAGCCCTTTTGCTGGCCCCTGTTCCAAGTGTCCTCTGCAGTCCCTCACATCCTGGGCCCATTCTTCCACTCTCTCTTTTCAAATAGGTCCACTCAGTATCTCACTTGT